TTCCTAACACAAATATTATATGTTATTTTATTAAGCAATCTGTGTGTCTAACAAAGGAAGAACATGGTATTGGTACTTGTTGGTGATGAATACATTTTCCATGGACTAAATTATATCTACTCTAAATTCATATGTCAAAGCCTTAATCCATGGTACCTGGAGGCTTTTAGACAGCACTTTTGATAGGCAGTCATGATTCAATGAGGTGATAAAGATATGCACCTCATGTGAAATCAGTGCCTTTATTTAAAAAGATAGCAAAGTGTGCTTTCTCATTCTCTCTCTCTCTCTCTCTCTCTCTCTCTCTCTCTCTCTCTCTCTGTCTGTCTCTCTGTCTCTCTCTCTCTCAACACAGCATAGCAGCACAGGACAAAATGTACAAAACCATTCTTATGTTGGGAAAAAAGAAAAAATGAAAATAAGAATAAATTTAAGAAATAAGACTAAAATAATCACTAACACTTTGACTTCATAATGCATTTATTTCTGACAGCAAACATTGTCCTTTACTTTTGGTTTCTCCCAGTGATTTATTTATTTATTCATTAATTCTATATTTACTGAATTTCTACTCTGTCTCTGATGATGTTCTAGCTTTAAATAAATTTATTGTCCCTCATGTCCTGGAAATATTTTCCATTTAGGGAGAGCAGAAAAAAATCTGTTATGATACATTTAGTAAAGATAGTTCCAAGTTGTATTGTTAAATGAGGAAATTAAATATGAGGATGCATGAAGCTAGTCTGGCAGGATCACACATGGGATGTTTGAAAAATCCTTTCTGAGATGGTTATATTTAGTGTGAAACTAAAGAAACAGAAAAAAACAGCTACTCCCTAAATCCTACCAAGAGGAATACAGGATTCAAGATAGTGGAGCTCTTAGGGGAACTGGAACTCTGAGGTAGAGAATAGCAATAAAAACTATGTGGAAAGTGTTTGTTTAATAGTGTCGTAGAATAATAATGAACAGCTAGAGAGGCAGAAGATACACATACCATCTTTACAATAATGATTTATTTGAAGTGAATTTTAAACTATGGAACAATATTGACATAGATAAGTTTCACACTCACCTTTGAGGTTTAAACTTTTACTCTTGCAGTTATGAAGACAAAGATTTATAGAAGTTGGAAAAAGATACAACAAGGCATATGTTTAAAGTTTTAAAAATATCAGATCACTTATTTGCATCTTTTGGGATGTTTTGAAATAAGATAATGCTTGGTAAAATAAAGTAGAAAAGTTATGTACTGAAAGAATCTGCTAAATATGATGGTTTGGAGGTGAAAACAATGTTCCCTTCTATATAAATCATATGATGAATCAGATGACATACATATGAAATAATTGGATTCAGTACAGATAGAATTTATGAGATTTTTGGAGATGAAGTTTTTGCTCACGACCTACTTTGCACACTGAAGCAATGGTGGTGAAACATGACACACATGTTTTGTTTTTTTCTTTTAGCGAAAAGATGTTAATGTTCAAGTTGTTTTTTCTAAACTAAAATTTCAGTGTTCCAGTTTAAATTCACTGTTGGCCCTTTGTAATAAATAAATGACTTCTGGGTTACAGTTTGGCACTCAGTCTCTGAAAGATGTGCCATATCTGTAGTGTATGGTTTAAGATAGAGTAATTGAATTGATGTTTTCAACACATCACTCTTTGGTCAACTATAAAGAATTTATTAAGCATTCAGATAACTAAATAGTACACTCTGAAGCACATCTGTACTTCAGTAACCTCAATATTAATATTAGAATTTTTGCATCTATTTTCAGATATTTCTGTTTTCAATCCTCATTTTTTTTTCTTTTTGGTTGTTCCCCATTGATTTCCATGCTTTTTCACTGAAGGTCAGTCCCCTTAATGTAGAGGAAGTCCTATCTTCTTAATTTGGAGGAGATGCTTTAAATGACAATAAAATATATGCAAACTTTTTTTATTTTTTATTTTTTTTTATTTAAGAGGAAAAAGAGAAAAACACAAAACAAAACAAAGTGGTGTACGGGTACACGTAATACAGAACTACAAAAAAAAAAAAAAACATAACACTAAGAAATCACCTGTTAATAGATTACATATTATCATCTTGAAAATAGTTGCCCAAATCACAGTATCAACGAATACAAGGTGGACATTCAAACAGGGAGACTGCAAACAGCTGTGTTCAATGATCCAAAAACATTGATATAGTCAGCTATTTAACACCCCTAAACACACTTGCTGTTATATCCGTTAGAGCTCTTTTTCTTTTTTTTCCCTCTCTTTTTTACAACAAAATTTACACATTTTGGATTTTATTACTCCTTAGTGCTTATTACTTTTTTGGGGGGGGAAGAGAATACAGTCAAATATGGCAAAACAAAGCTGTCAGTCAAAACCAAGGATAGACATAGCAAATGGTGTAGAACAGAGTACAAGGTTATCAACAATGGTTATCAACGTTGTCTCTTGTTTCCTTAAAAAGAATTGTCTATCTCATTAGATATTATAAAGTTGGACAAAACAGTAGAGAACAAGACCAATAAAACTTAGGCATTGTAAACATTACAGGACTTCCAAAGAAGACAATAGTCAAACCAGAATGGGTATCTTAGTGAATCTTATTGCCTTCAAAGTAGTTGCCTATGTCTTGAAACTTGATACTATCATATAGAATGGAACAGAGTCTAATCAGTCAAAACAAGATCGTGGGAGTATTACAGGACTTCAAAACAAGTTAATAGGAAATCAAAAAGAGTTACTATTTATATATCCTATTTTTAAAAATTTTTTCTTTAATTAAGACGAACATAAGAAATGACTAAATAATTTTTTTAAAAGAATAAGGGGGAGATTGAGATAAAACAGGACATAACAATATAACAATATAGGTCAAAGCATGACTGTTTCAGCAACCTAGTACTTCACCACCATATAACCCGACTTAATAGTAGTTACCATAATGTCTGTCTTTTTCCTTGAAATATTTGGATAAAACTTCATATACCCTAGCTTCAAATATTTCCATATCAATAAGCCCAGAATAAAGCCTTTCTAATTAATGAATGAAAACTTTATAAGGCTTCAAGGCCACCTAATGGGGAATCATGATTACCACATATTTTTATATATTTGAATCATTACTTACATTAGGGAAACTATTCGGTATTCACACATGCGAGATTGATTTATCTCACTTATGAGTATGGTCTCAAGCTGCGCCCATTTATTGATAAATATCTCAATGTGATCCTTCTTTATAGCTGAATAATACTCCATTGTATAGAAATACCACAACTTTTTTATCCATTCCTCAGTTGATGGGCACTTGGGTTGTTTCCAAGATCTGGCGATTACAAATTGTGCTGCTATAAACATAGGAGCACATATATCACTGTGGTATGATGCTTTCAGTTCTTCTGGGAATATGCCTAGAAATGGAATAGCTGGAATAAATGGGATTTCCAGTCCCAACTTTTTGAGAAATCTCCAGATAGATCTCCACAAAGGCTGTACCAGTCTACACTCCCACCAGCAGTGCAGGAGAGTTCCTTTTCCCCCACAGCCTCTCCAGCATTTGTTGTTGTTGGTTTTCTTGATCCTGGCCATTCTTTCAGGAGTGAGATGGTATCTCAGTGTGGTTTTAATTTGCATTTCTCTAATGACCAATGATGATGAGCATTTTTTCATGTATTTATTTGCCATTTGCATTTCTTCATCTGAGAATTGCGTATTCATCTCAGATGCCCATTTTTGGACTGGATCTTTGAATTTTGGAGGTCTGAGTTTCTTTAATTCTTTATATGTTTTAGACAAGAGTCCCTTGTCTGAGAGAGAGTTCACTAAAATCTTTTCCCAGTTCGTGGGTTTTCTTTTCACTATGCTGGAGATTTCTTTTGACATGCAGAAACTTTTTAATAAGAAGTGGTCCCAGTTATTGATTCTGGGAAGTATTTCCCGTGTGGTTTGAGTACTGTTTATGAATTCTTTACCTACTCCTATGTCTCCAAGGTTTCTACCTAATTTGTCTTCCAATAGATTTAGTGTTTCTGTTTTAATATTCAGATCTTTGACCCATTTAGATTTTAATTTAGTACATGGTGATAGACATGGGTCTAGCTTTAGTTTTCGGCAAATGGAGAGCCAGTTTTTCCAGCACCATTTATTTAAGAGACTGTCGTTCTTCCAGTGAACCTGCTTGGCTCCTTTATCAAAGATAAGCTGGTTGAGTGTGTTTGTAGTTGTGGTTGTATCTTCTAATCTATTACACTGATCTTCGGCTCTGTTTTGATTCCAATATATGCAAACTTTTAAAAGCATTTTATTTTGTTTAGCTGAACTACAGCAAATAATTGTTTACTTTCATTTCAGGTTTATTATTTCTTTGAAAATATTGTAGAGGTCTCATCTCATCAAGCCAGCTTCTGCAGCTGAAGTCTTACACCTTCCTAGGCCAATGCCCTATAGTGGAAGTCCATCTTTTTAATACTGAACCAAAGTAATCGTTTTAATATATTCTCATTGAAATGTTGACAGACATACTTCTATGAGATATATAGTTTATCTAAGCATCTCATTACTACATGGGTTATATGATCTACCTATCTAGAGATCTTTGGAAATAATTGATAACTGTCCTAACAGGATACCTAATGTGGAGTTTTAGCAAGAAGGGACATTATTTTGAGTTAGGTATTTGTGTATATACTTTCCTTTCATTAGTGTAATGGACTTAAACATGAGCTTTTTGTTCATATAATAGAGCAAAGAAAAAATTATTACATAAATAGACTCACTCATGCAAAAACTTAAGAAATGATATGATTAGTTACTACATGAGATCTTACTATTATAATCCTCAAATATAAACACCTGTATTACTGAGAGGAATAATAACTTTATAAATAAACATTAGAATATGTATTATTTTATTTTATTGCATGGTATTATTTCATAATACCATTCAAAATCAAAGAGGGTTGCCTCCTTTGGAGATATGGTTTGGATTTTTTAAATGTGCTTACAAGAAAAATAAATAACATATCCTCTATCCACCTCTACTAAGGAATCTGCTTCTGATTATCAGGGTCAGAGTCCACATTGTGACAGCAGTGAGAGCCCAAATCACAAGTGCAGGTGACTCAGTCAAACATTTTCTGCTGCATCCTTGGGAAGGAGTCCCTGGGGATCAGCTCCCAAGAAAATTCCTCTTCTAGGAATTCAAGGAGACACACAGATCCCTCTGGTTTCCATTTGCATCTTCCTTATTTGTGTTATGAAAATATTTGCCCTTCTATGACAGCAACCCATTTTCCTCCTTCATCTCTCAACAGACCTTTCACATCTCTACACTATGAGTTTCTGTTTATTTTATTGTACAACCTCATATATATATTTGGTAATGGAAAATTAAAGGTTATCTTTTGCAATAAACTTTCAATGCTTATACTCATTGTTCATAACTATGTTCTTCCATGTATCATATTTTTAAGTGACACATTGGTGATTTGATTTTGATGTGTTCACTCTTATCCTACATAAAATCCTGTGCACACTTCTTCAGTGCATGGAAACTACTGCATAAAAATGTATTCTTCTAAGATAATGGCCTCTGTATCTTCCAGGTTTTATGAAAGTTTATACAGTTCTGAACCATGCAAGATTCCTTTTCCTTAAACTACAAAACATTTTCCTGGCAAGAAGAGAGGAAAAGTGATTTTTTTTCTGGAGAAAAGCAATTATCTATCACAGATTATCTTCAAATTACCAACATTTAAGATGTGCAGTGTATCAAAATCATGCTGTCACTTGCTTAAGAGAGGAATAATTTTATCTTTTATGTATACAATGGGTGGTAAGAACCTAGGAAGTGGTGGTTGGGGAATTCACAGCATATAGGTCTAGTACCAGAGGGACTATGGGACAGGAGGACTAGCCAGAGATGTAATACATAAATCAATGGAAATAGATGCAAATAGAATGCACTGCATATTAATATATTGACCTTAGAAATTCAGCTAATCTTTTGAAGATTAACATCTAGGGTATATGAAGAACTCAACAAAATTAGACATGCCAAATTTAAGACTCAAACAAAAATTGACAATTAGAATAAACAATCTCTTCTCTGAAGAAGAGATACTAATGGAAAACAAATACATTTAAAATTTCTGGAATTGTTGGGAAACACAAATGCAAACTAAAATAATACTGAAATCTCACCTTATTCTAGCAAGAATGTTCATTAGAAATTAAAAAAATACCAAATGCCAGCAAAATTGTAGGAAAAAAGAAATCTTTCTACATTGCTGATAAAATTGTAAACTAGTGCAACTACTGTGAAAATCAGTACAGAGATTCTTTCAAATAGTAAAAATAGAAATTTCATTTGACTCATAAATACTGTTCCTGGGTATTTTCCTGAAAGTGTTAAATTTATCATATTACACACACACACACACACACACACACACACACACACACACACAAGCATATTGTAGCATAAATCACAGTAGCTAAATCATGAATGTGACCTATATGCCCACCAATAAATCAATGGTTAAATAAAATGGAGTATGGTGTACACAGTGGAACAGTGTTCAGTCATATGGGGCAGGGGGATAAATACGAGTCATCTTTAGGAAAATGGATTGAGAAATTATAATACTGAATGAAATAAGCCATCTACAGAAGGTTGCATTTCACATGGTTTCTTAATATGAAAGATCAAAAGTATAAAGACTTACAGATGGAAATATAGGAGAGCTGTTAGGAAACAGGGAGACAGGCTTTATAGACATGGGAGGAGGACTGGAAAAGGAATGAGAACAGAAATCAAAGGCTTACAAGCAGCTTACAAATGATTAAATTTCTTTCTATACTGTGTACCAACCCTCTGTTTAAAGTAACTATAATGCATTACAAACATATATTAATTAAAGAAATTTATATAAGTACTAAGGTAACATACAAATTCTCAGATGCTCACACCAAATCTGAGTCATAAGGCCTTGAATTAGTTTTGAAAGACTGCTTTCTCTTCACAGGCATTTCTGCAGTCAATGGAATTGATGCTGTTTTCACATGTGGATCCAGGTACCACCTGTGGCTCTTGGGAAGGCTCGGTTTTTGTCAGTTAAGCTGGGTTGAGGGACTTCCAGGGCTGTAATCAGGTTTATTTCTAGGTGTGTTGATGAGAGTGTGTTTCCAGATGACTTAGGCTTTCAGTCCATAGGCAAAGGGAAAATCCACCCAAGCAGTGCTAGTGGCATCCTATTATTGACTGAATATACAAGCAGTGCAAAAGGTACAAGAAAATATTATTTTCATGTTTTGTGCTGGAACATGTCTTTCTTGCTCTCTATTCTGAGGACTTTGGCTCCAGGTTTTCCCCCATAAGTAGTGCTGTTCTCAGGCTCCTGACTCCGGATCCTGGTTCTCAGGTCTTCTGCCTGGACTACAGGTAAACATCAAATCTCCTCTTAATAACAGGCCTTCATGCTGATCTGAATTAAGTCACCAGATTTTGTTTCCTCTTCCTTAAAGCAGAAGTTCATGGAACTTACTGATCTTCACTGCCATTTAACTCAATTTTCAGAAATAATTTACATAGATAGAGAGGAAGAGATCACAAAGCACAAATCCGCAGAAGTATTCATGAGACTTCTTGATTCTTTCTATGCAGAAACCCATCTTTGATAACCAAATTTTAACTTTGTCTCATAGGGATTGACAAAATAACATTTTAAAGCATAGTGATGTTTTAAAGGTAGGTAGTCATATACTGATTTATACATTTCAATGAAGGACATGTTAAGTAATTTCTGGTAGCTTTCCTGTTTGTTTACCTTTATTATAAAATGTTTTTATTTACATGTCTTAAGATAATAATTAACTGAGGGAATGTAAATAATTATTGTGTATTTGAAAAATAAAAAATTGAGGGATTTATGGAATATTGCAATCAAGATTTTCATGAGGGCATTGCTGTAAAAAATCAACAAAAATTCATCTGGGACCCATCCTGTCTCTCAAGAGCTATTACTTCTTCCTAGTCATACTTCCCATTCTTTTTCTCCAACAAATTTTCTACACTTAAAAAACAAAATAAAAAAATATCAAAAATTAAGTGAAATATTTATAGATCAAATTTCACACAGCCTTAGGAATCAAGCAAAGCTTAAAATTGATCTAAAAATGTGTATTCAGATAAACTGATGAACCTTGGTAAAATAAATTAGTATTTGTTTTAACACTTTGGCATTTAGGGGATATCATTGCATCACACAGTAGTAAAAACACAAATTTTATATAAAAAAAAGTCCAGGAAAAAACACTAAACAAATAAATACTAGGAAAATGCTCCATATTGTAGCATCAGTTGGTCAAAAAAACCGAACACATTGGCTAGAGGAGTATTCCAGGGAAAGACAGGCATAAAGATGACTAAGACAGATATAAAATAACTAAGAAAAAGCTTTCAACACAAGAGAGGAAGGCTAAAAGCAGAAAACATAAAAGGCACAATGTACTCAATATGTAGTTAGAAAAATAGTATATAAATTGAAACATCAATAATTATCTGAAATAGGATGGGCTACATGTTTAATTAAAAGCAATTCTTTCTTTTGAGACAGGATCTTAGTCTGCAGTTCACCCTGGCCTTGAGCTCATTTTATAGCCCAGGCTGGTCTTGAACTCACAACAATCTTCTTGCCTCTGCCTCCTGAGTGCTGGGATTACAAGCTTGTGCCACCATGCCTGGCTTCATATGCCCTCATTCCCTTCTAGAAAGCAATATTAATGACTAACTTTTTATGTTTTCAGAGTAGGGAAATTGGGGAAATAGATATGCAGAATAGGAATAACTCCTAAGGTACAAGAGGGATAACGAATGGGTTGTCCATTAAGGCTTAATTTAATCAAAATTATCTAATCAAATATTGGCAGAAATTACACACAAAATCACAAACGTACTGAAAATAAACACGTATTATCCATGAAAATAAAACCCAAAAGAGAGCTTCAGAAAGTATAAAAAAGTTACAAAAATGTAGTTAAGTGAGTAATTGTTACCCTAAAACAGAAATGCATTTAATAATGGTAACTGAAAAAAAAACAGAGGTAAATTTGTCATTATTATTTGGACAAATTATTCTTTGGACTAAAAACGCCAAAATATCAGAAACAACTGACAAATACCAAAGGGATAACTATATTTAGCTCAAGATTCTAGTATCAATCTGAATGACTGATGGAACAGGTGGAGAGACCAGCAAGGCAAGACAAAATGAGAACAGCCCCAGGAAGCCTTTCATTCATTGATCAGAATGAAATCCCCATGGTGACTCTGAATGAGTAATTGTTTACAGTGGGCTTCCTAATTTAGGGGATCTCCCCACTTTGTCCAGGAGCTTTTATTTGTAGAGTTCTCTGCTGTGAAAATTAGGTTCTTTTTAATATCCCTGACATCTCCCTCTCTCTAGGAAAATTCACACTATTGTGCTAACAACTAATAATTATCACCATTGCAAATAGTCCTGCAGAACAAAATTACCCCATGTCAGTCCTTAGTTTACAGTTGTGCATAACTTCATTAGAAACTAATTATGTTTAAGATGCGTTAATAATCTTTTGTATTACTCTTAAACAACCTTGAACAGGGCACTAGGGGAGCCTTAAATTTGGTCAATTATTGGACAAAATCTAGTTGTATAGTTATCAGATAAAAGAAGTTATAAAATGCATTTTTGTGGAAGAAATAGCATTTAATGTAAAATGTCCCTTCATTCCCTACTTGTGAAAGTATCATTCTAGGTGAAAGTTGCTTACAAAAAACAAAACCCAAAACAAAACCAGAAAATGACTTATTAGGGGTATAAAAGCAGATCATGGAAAGAAGTCATTTTTGAAATCTCACAGCATGGAAGCCCGGCTGCTGCCGCCCACAGCTTTCTTTAGTGCCTCCTTGACCTCCCTGTTCCGGAGGCTGTAGATCAGGGGGTTCAGCATGGGGATGAGCACTGTGTAGAAGACCGAGGCTGCCTTGTCCGTGTCCAGGGAATGGGTAGAGCTGGGCTGCAGGTACATGAAGATGAGGGTCCCGTAGAACATGGTCACCGCCAGCATGTGGGAGCCGCAGGTGGAGAAGGCTTTGTGCCTTCCCTCAGCTGAGCGCATCCTCAGGATGGCAGAGACAATGAACATGTAGGAGACCAAGACGATTAGGACAGAGGCAATGAATGTGAACCCAGCACAGGTTAAAACCCACAGCTGTTTGGAGCGAGTGTCTGAGCACGCAAGCTTGAGCAGAGGCATGTCATCACAGTAGAAGTGATTGATGACATTAGAGCGGCAATAGCAGAGGCGGAAGGTCAGGGTGGTGTGGAACAGTGCCATCAGGAAGCTGTAGCTGTATGGCAGAGAGACGAGTTGAATGCAGAGGCCAGGGGACATTCTAACCATGTAGAGCAGAGGGCTGCAAATGGCCACATACCTGTCATAGGCCATGGAGGCCAGGAGCAAGCATTCTGACACCATGCAAGTGAGAAAGCAGCCCAACTGAGTGGCACAGGCATAGGAGGAGACCGTGTTTTGTCGGTACAGGAAATTTCCCAGCATTTTGGGAGTGATGACCGTAGTGTAACAGAAATCGACAAAAGCCAGGTTGCTCAGGAAGAAGTACATGGGAGTGTTGAGTCTGGCATCTGTTCTGATGACCAGGATCAAACCTAGGTTGCCCATGACTGTGAAGATATAGATGGATAAGAAGGCCAGGAAGAGAGGCATCTTCAATGCCTGCTGATCTGTGAGACCCAAGAGAATGAAGTCTGTCACCTGGGTGCAGTTCATGTCAGCCCTGTGTCCTTAGGACATCTGCATGGCCAAAAACAGGAGAGTGATTTCTAAGGGCACTGTTTGTGACATCGTTCAGACAATCAGTGACTGTATCCTGTACTTCTGGGTAAAGTGTTTTTGTTTATGTGTTTTATTTTCCCCTATATGAAGATTACAATCACACTAGTTTTGGGAATGGGATGAATAGTGGAAAGAGACATTGGTGAGAAAAAAGTACTTTATTTTCCCTGTATTCCATTCTTAAACACATAAATAGGGACTATGAAATACACCATATTATCTTGCTGTAGAAGCAAAGGATTCATATGCTATTTAAAAGGAGAGGTTGACTTTTTCTCGGTTGTGCATTTGTATAGGTGTTGTCATTTGCAACATAAGCTACAATGAATCTACAGCAGTACTGTTGCTAGAACAGAAGGAAACAAACTGCTTATTGTCCCAAATCTACCAGATGTAAAATTTTGTATTTTTTATTTTGCATGAGTGATTTGTTACATATAGCAGTCTGGATCACAACATAATCATAGTTGTACATGAATACGTCAAATACTCGAGGTAATTAACTTTTCGAAAGGCACAATATCATGTTTATATCAGTAAACCTTAATGGAAAATCCTATATTTATGCTTATTTTACAAATTATGTAGAGGAGAAACACAGAAATGTGCAAACATCAGATGCATTTTGTATAAATTGGGCTTTAAAGCCATATAGTGTCTACTAAGGAGCTTGCGGGTCCTAATTGTACTCTTAGAATAATATGTAATATTTCTTTCTTTGGTAGATACCTCATTTCTATCCAAATTTTCAAAATATAACACCATTATATATCAAATTACATTGAAATTGTATTCAGAATAGAATCATGTTTAGTTTCCAAGAGAAATGGAAATTTGTTTTCAAATTAACTTACAAGTCATTTGCAACTATGCTTTGTAAATTAATTGTGGTTTGTATACTATGCTTCAATTTGTGTATCTTTCTGTTTTATCTTAATCACGCTGGCTAATTTTTATAATTAAATTAGCAAATGTCCTAATAATGCCAATAATCCCTGTTTCTTTGGTTCATTCTATTTCCTTTGTCTCTGTCACTTTTACATATGAAAATTTAAAAGGAAATCTTGTTAAAAATTGATGATTCTTTGCACATGCTAAAATTAATCTTGAAAGAAATCTATAAATTTTATAACATTCATCACATATTTTCCAAATATACTAAGAACTTTCAGGTACTAGTAACTCTTGTATATTTTATTGAAAAGTACCATTTTCTAGTGTTTTTACTCAACACATTTATTGAGAAGCAGTGTGTAATAAATTCAAAGAATTCTCAATAAAATGTGCATCACCCTAGAAATCCTAAAAACTGATTAAAAACATTCATATCCAATCATAGCATCACAGAAATATAAGAAAATAGGTATTTAGGGATCCACAACTTCCAAATCTCCAATGAATATATGAAAAAAATGAAAGTCAGTTTGGACTTAATAAATATAGAAAAAATGAAAGCAAAGAAGTAAAAAGAAGCAAAAAGTGAGATAAATTATTTGCTTATTTTGCTTCTCAAACCAAGTCCCTTCCCTGAACATTGTCTATTAGAGACAGTTCATGCTTATTTTTTAATGTAAATATGAGTTTTTACACCACAGTACAGAATATACTTACAGTTTATCAGTTTTGAAACAGCGATGACTCCTTTTGTTCCAGCTAACATGATCTGTCTCTGGTTCCAGCCATCTCAGCTTCCTTTCCTTTAAGGAAAAAAAATATATAAGAATATTACAGGGTAACTTTCCTGTGTATCTTTCAAGGCATATTTTAATCCAGTCTCGTTTATGAAACCCTACTTGCTTTCCCTTCTCCTTTTAACTCAGCATTTTCTCTAATTTTGTTTTGGAAACACTTTGGACATCATCTCATTTATGTCCTTCTCTCCCTTCTCATATCTGTGTCCAACCCTTCTTCTGATGCACTTTAGATGCCTTATGGTCATGAGAAGAGCTATTCTTCATTTGCTAATGAGGCTCCTACCAGCTGTTAGGTGCTGAAGAATATAAGAAATATTTAGCAGTGACATTTGAAAGTTTGTCCAATTTCTCCCAAGTTATATTACTTTGTGTGGAAAATATCCCTGCAATGGCTGTGGTGACCTTTGTCTAATGTATCCCCAGTAAATCCAGCTAAATCTCAACTACCACAAGATTAGAAAGCAACTTGTTCACAGAATAAAATCTAGTCAGCTAGAAAGTTGACCTTTTCAAAGCACAATTCTTAGGCAATTCCAACTATTCAGGAGTATTCATATATCATTGCAAATGTATGTATCAAAAAGTAAGAAAAATCTGGAAAATATTGTTTAACTGCATTTTAGAAAATGTACTCCAAATTGTTTTTACTCTAACCCATCAAACTAATCTGTATTTAAATTAAATTCTTTTCTTGAAATACTACTGTGATGTTGTTATCCATGAATATATAAACTCCACTATCTGGAAATAATCTCTTTTAACTTACTCGACGAAGACATGCTCTTATGTTTCCATGTGGTGAGCACAGATGGCATTGGCTCATGATCCTGTCTGCATCTATGTCCCAAGGGGTCTTACTTCAGAGTCTGAACAAACAAGGTGATGAGGAAAATGAGACTGCATGCTCAATTGGGAGGCCCACTGATGTGGAGCTGTGTTTTGAATCACTGTCTAAGTATCTCTATGTGTCCAGTGTACATTTTCACTAAGATTTATCTAACCCTTAAAATAAAAGTGTACATTTGTTTTTTTAAAAGTGTATATTTGTTTTAAACACATATGTGTTTTAAATTGCTAGTGTCAGTCTGCAGATTTGATATAGATGTGCTTTGGAAATACCAACAGTTTTTGTGATGCATTGACAGAATGTCAAGTTCTTGGCCATGAGTTTACCTGCCAGTCATACGGATGTCAAGAACACATGAAATACACTGCTGGTGTTTTATGTAGGTATGCGGGTGGATTTATACATGATATTATGGACATGAAATTAAAATCTGTGCTTTAGTTTTATACTTTAAAAATTTCTAACAATGAGCTTTTTGCTCTAATGTATGAACACAACATATACAATTGGAAAATAGAAAAAATGCTTAGAAGTTGCCCACAATATAATTGTATTAATGATAAAAGTAAAGATTTCAGGGTGTGTACTCTACAGTCCAGGTATTAGATAATACTTCTTTGTATAGTTGTTTCCCAAATAAGATAGAGATGGACTATCAACCCATTGGTGTTATGCCTAGTGATAAAATGCCATGCCTTGTGATCTGGTACCGAGATGATGCTTGTGTATGTGTGGTATGACATACAAGCCCGTGCATGTGCTCACATGTACACACATATGCTCCACATATGCTCCGTGCATGTGCTCACATGTGCACACACATGCTCCACATACGCACACACACAAAGAAAATTTGAGAGTGTTAGTGATGAAGGTGACCCTAAAGGAGACATTTTGTACTAATGAATATAAAACTAACCATTTATCAAGAAAGAAAGACATTGTATTTAGAGATTCCATTGAGTTCCATAAATCTTTGTATTATATTCTTGAATAACATGTGTTGGTAACATTTGTTAATGGGTTTCTTTGCAAATTTCACTACATTCATAGCCTATAGCATTCACTGATGAACTCCAATCTCCCTTTATCCAACCTCCTCCCTCCCTCTCCTCAACCTATAGTGGACATGATTTTATGCTTACTTTGACTTGAAATTTGCTGTATCAAAGAGAACTTGAAGTACTTATCTTTCTGCATCTGCTTTGTTCTGACACAGACTCAAGTTTACCCCAGCAACAATGAAATTTACCTTACATACACAATCAACTCAGGTGCTCTGAAATCAATGAATACATAAAAAGTGATACACATGAACAGTGGACTATTATTCAGTCATATAGAATCTTGCTTTTTGTCACAATAGATTTTGAACTGGGAGACTCTATTTTTTACACTTATTTACTATAGTATGAGTGGCAAATTAACTGCCTCAATAAATCATGGAGGATATTTTACAGTGGACCAAAAGCAAAAAATGTTATATGTGTTGCTTTATTTTATTTAGGGACACTTTATGCAGTGAAAATGCATATATAACACTTGGTGCTCTTAATAAAAATTGTACATTTTATCTAGAATTGTAAAAACCACTGCCAATGTCCTTAAGTGACCCATTGCTTAGTCCACCCTACAATATCCACCTTTCCTCTGCTGAATCTCTGCAGGGCTTATCAGACATTATGCCTATGATAAAACTATACTTAAGCCATGGCCAGTGGAAAGCTTGGCACCTCAGATATAAATATTTAGATGATTAATAATTTTTAGGGAATATTAGGCTATATGAATAGATTGGTGTTTACCACTGATTAATGAGTGGATGAATAGCCAAACAATGCATCATTTTATTTTTTCTTATACTTAGTGGATTTACACAGTTCCATAATGAAATGATTTTCCCAAATTTAGGAAAATCATAAGATTCTGAGGGAATATAGGCCTCTTTGCAGCAGCCTATGTTTTTGAAAAGATATTGGCTTATGATTGTGATATGTAACAATAATGATCATCTTGGGGAACTGGTACATATGCATAACACTATTTGTCATTTTTACTTCTCATTCATTACTCATCTGCTCTCCCCTGCTTCCCAGACTGTTTCCACAAAGTCTATTCACATTTCTTATCTTCTCTCCTTTCTTTTTCCCTTTAAATAGTTTCTCATATAAAGGGGACTTTGATAACCTTAACCTTTTGCCTGGTTTATTACAGCTAGCATCATTGTCTCAAGATGCTTCCATTTTCCTATAATCCACTAGGCCATTAATAAAAACACATAACAAAGTACAAAATATGGTATCCAGTATTCCCTGAGGAATTTGTCACAGTTACTTTAAGTAATAAAATTTTCCTGTGAATGCCTTATATTTCTCACCTAATTTAGAATGATTTGGAGCTGAAAAATCCCTGAAAAATTTAGCAATCATTAGAGAATTATGTGTTAATGTTTACATTGTTTTACCATTTTTATCATTTTTGTCATTATATATGAATAAAATTATCTTGGTGTCAAAAGAATGAAAGTGTTACAGATAGCCAAGTCAGAAAATTATAGGCAATAACGCAGGGCTGGACCCTCCAAGGATCCAGAACAGAAGACCAAATGTCTTATAACTGTGGGGAGACAGACACTTCCCAATGTGGGCCAGGCCTAAAGACAAAAGATGTAGCAATTGTACCCACATCCTAAGGAGTGATGTAAAAGTGATGTAAAGTAAATAGGTCTCTGTCACTCTGAGGAAGACAGGAGCCACCATCTCAACCCCCAACAGGATGTCACTGCTCTTAAGCATCCCGCTTGTTATGTGACTTGCTTCCCCACTTATTCCTGATTTAATCAATTCTATCTGAACAATTAATATTATGGGTTGACCATAGTTCTGTCCTACCTCATGCTCACCTTGAAAGTTCCCATGTCTTCCCCAACTTAGAACTGCATCACATTGTGATTTTACTCTATAAAAGTCCCTAAAAAAGAGTCGTTGGCAACCCACTCAGGATGCCTTCTGTCTCTCAGACAGAAGCTTTCTTTCTTCCAATAAATATATCCTTGGGCTAGAGATTTAGCTCAACAGCATGTGTGTGTGTGTGTGTGTGTGTGTGTGTGTGTGTGTGTGTATTCCGCTCTTAATCTCCACTGATCCTAAAATTGATTCTTCAGTTTTAGAGAACACAAACTCATATTGAACATAGGCAGTTTTGTTCCCCCATATCAAAAGGAGAATTTTGTTGATTTTTTACTCCCCTTCCATGTTGGTGCATCACCATTTCTGATCAGTGTGCTGCCCCTACACTGATGATTGTGATATTAGGTGCCTTAAGCTCAGTCAGCTGCCTACTATCAGTCCACTGCAGGACAGTGATTTGTCTCTGTGTCACAGAGGCCTCAGTTTGCCCCTGAAGAATCAACCTTTGTGCTCTCTTTCTCTTTATCTGTGTGTGTGTGTGTGTGTGTGTGTGTGTGTGCGTGCATTTTTCACTGCACTCCTGCTGCCTAGAAATGCTGAGTTTGAGGAACAAGAATTTTGTTCGTCTCTCACTGAGTGTGACCTGACATTCCCTCTGCCACCAACACTCCTTCCTCACAGAGACAGGGTCCCTGACTTTGTTTTGTATAAAGTGGTTTACAATTTTCAGGAAGTGGCACACGAAACAAACCAATAAATTTTTACCTTGGGACCTAAATCACCATTTTATAAACATCAAGTGTGCCATAGATGCTTTTGGAAGTATGTAATATGCAAATCCTGTGTTGTCTGTGGCCATTTTGATGGCAAAGATCTTTGTGATGTTTGGTATTTTTGACTTATTCATAGAAACAAGAACTGAAACCAGGGCCAGTGTGCACTACAAAAGCTTGATGTTGATGGTGATGTTAATGATTATGTGAACTCCAATGAATTCTCTATACAGATCAATCTTGATGGTCAGATTTACCTTCACCAATAGGGGCTAAGGCACATTGTTATTTATTATGGTGATAAAATACCATCAATGTCAATGAGTTTCAGAAATATGACATTTAGTTTTAAACATTAGCACATTTAATTCCCTATGAAATTTCTACAGAATCAGTTTTGTATATTTTCAATATCTTAAGTTCATGTGTGAGAGAGTTTTTATTTTAGAAAATGTGAAGCATCAATTTTGTATTATTTAAAATGCTAAAATTATCAGAATGTTTATAGAATAAGGTGGTGTATCAGTGACTACAGTATAGATGTTTTTGACTTCTGCAATGAGGAATCAAACCAAACTAAGCAAACAAAAAAGCACAAAATATACAACATAGCACACTGATTCTTATCTGCAGCTGAGTTGAAAGAACTGCAGGAAAGTTTTCTCATAATGATTCTACTTAACCACACAGAATCCCTGATTTACCAGTTGGTAAAGTGCCAAGTTCATTGTTCTCTTTGGAGAATCTTCATTTCCTCAACAGTTATTTTTTTCGCCTGAACTTGCATTAGTGAACCATGAACATTCATTATTGAGGTATTTTTGTTATCATATTAAAACTCCAAGGGGTTTATATGAAGAGTACTTTTCATCCTACTTCCTCAGAGGATGCCCCATGGGGCACATTTACTCTCTCCTGTGCCTCCTGAGTAGTTGGGGGCTTTTAGTGTGAGGAAGCTTGAGGGGAGGGCATATTTACATAGATTATGTTAAATAATTTACAAATTACTTCATAATTGCATAAAATTATGATATTAATGTGTGATTGCTAGAACTCCAAGTCTGTTAGTGAAATAAATGTTATGTTAATTAGTGAGTGATAGATACATGATTGAATAATTATATTTTAGGCAAGACACACAAGTCATTCATTTTCCCCAATGAAAATTATTGCAAATAAAACATATCTACATGAAATTGTAAGAGATGTAACCCTATGTTTAAGAAATATGACTATTAGAATTTTGATGCTTTGCCAATGTAAAAAAATCTAATAGCAAATTTTCATCATAATGGCTAATGTATTTCTACTTCAGGTTCAGGAATGATTCTACCATTCATAAAATGACCCTGTATTTGGTATAAAAAGGGTTTTCAGGTCTTTTAGTAGAGAATCAACGAAGGACAAGGAGTATAATATCAAGAAATACTATTGGCAAAACATAGTTTCAAGATACATATTGGAGAATTAAAGATAGAAAACTAAGCTGGGCGGGATTATAGACTTCATCTTCACACTGCTTCTGCAGTGGATTTTTATTAAGTGCATGCAAGAATGACATTCAATGATAAAACTTTATAGGAATATGGGCTAAGTAATGAGATTACCTTTGAGAGAGCCAAGCTTTCCTCCTCAGAGAGGAACACTCCAAATCC